TTGTTACCTTGTTTACCTCTGGTCCCCAGGGTCAGAGCATGTGCTCAATAAGTATTTACTGAAAGAATGACTCACAACCAAAGAAAAAAATTAAAACCAGGACAGCTCACAGAATTTGACTATCATATCAGCAAAGATTAAAAGAACGAAAATGCCTATTTTTCTTTCTAACACTCTGTATTTTGTCTGACATTACATTTATGTGATTGTTTATTGTTTGTCTCCCCCTGACTAAAACAGAACCTCCACAAGGGCAGGGACTTGGTTTTATTCACAGCTGTATTCTTAGCACCTACAAGTGCCTGGCATATAGTAAGTGTTCAGGAAATATTTACCAAAAAAAATTGACAATATCTGGGAGTGACTAGGTAGTGGAGAAAAGAGTATGGTAAGAATATAAATGGCGCACAATTTCTCTAGGAAATTTGGCAATATATATCAAAAGCTCTCAAAGGGGGCATACCTATTGACTTCACACTCACTTCTAAGAGGAACTTATCTTAAACAAGCAAATGAACAAGGGTACAAAGATTACTTATGACGGACTTTATACTGTGTTGTTTATGACAAAGAAAGTTTAGAAATGTCAGCATGGGGCACCTGGGTGGCTCAGATGGTTAAGCATCTGCCTTCGGCTCAGGTCATGATCCCAGGGTCCTGGGATCGAGTCCCGCATCGGGCTCCCTGCTCCTTGGGAGCCTGCTTCTCTCTCTCTCTCTCTCTGTCTCTCATGAATAAATAAATGAAATCTTTAAAAAAAAAAAAAAAAAGAAATGTCAGCATGATATCCTTTAATAGGAAGTTATAAATATAATTATAAATCTGTACAATGAAATATATTAAAAATATTTTGGAGGAGGGGCACCTGGGTGGTTCAGGTTATGATCTCAGGGTCCTGGGATCAAGCCCCCTGTTGGGCTCCCTGCTCAGCAGGGAGCCTACTTGTCCCTCTGCCCCTCCTCCCTGCTCACGTTCTCTTTCTCTCTCTCTCAAATAATTAAGTAAAATCTTTTAAAAAAAAAGTTCCTCCTTGTTAAAAAAATATTGGGGCGGCGCCTGGGTGACTCAGTCGTTACGCGTCTGTCTTCGGCTCAGGTCATGATCCCAGGGTCCTGGGATCGAGTCCCACATTGGGCTCCCTGCTCGGCGGGAAGCCTGCTTCTCCCTCTCCCACTCCCCCTGCTTGTGTTCCTGCTCTCGCTATCTCTCTCTCTGTCAAATAAATAAATAAAATCTTAAAAAAAAAAATATTGGGGAGGCATGTATTTATTGGTGCAGCAAGAGATAAAAAGTGTATTAAAAGGCAAGCTAAAAAACTCCACATGTAGGGGCGCCTGGGTGGCTCAGTTGGTTAAGCATCCGTCTCTTGGTTTCGGCTCAGGTCATGGTCTCAGGGTCCCGAGATCGAGCCCTGTGTTGGGCTCCTAGTTCAACGTGGAGTCTGCTTGGGATTCTCTCCCTCTCCCTCTGCTCCTTCCCCAGCTCTCTCTCTCTCTCTCTAAAAATAAATAAAATCTTAAAAGAAAAGCCCACATGGGGCACCTGGGTGGCTCAGTCGGTTAAGGGTCTACCTCCCGCGCAGGTCATGATCCCAGGGTCCTGGGATAGAGTCCCGCATCGGGCTCCCTACTCAGCAAGGAACCTGCTTCTCCCTCTCCCTCTGCCTGCCGCTCCGCCTGCTTGTGCTCTCTCTCTCGCTCTGTCAAATAAATAAATAAAATCTTTTTAAAAAAATTAGAAAACCCCACATGTATAGCAAAATTTCATTTTTGCAAAAACATACGGGGAAGACACATACACGGGTATGTATGAATGCACACCGGCATTTACAGATAAAAGTTTGGACGGACATACTTCAAAATGTCAACACTGGTTGGTGTTTTTTGGATGGTGAGATTAACAGGAATTTTAATTTTCTTCTACATATATTTCTAAACTTTTTGTAATTAGGTCAACAAAAACTATCTGAACAGGTTCAGCGTCTATAAATGGGAAACAAAAAGCAATTAAGTATTATGAAAAACACAGACACACTTCATAAACTTAATGAAGACTAGAGCCCAGGTTTAGAACCAGGAGTTCAGAAATGTTAACTACAGTATTGTAGATGGTTTTCTGATTTCCTGAATTCAAGCAAGTTGTTTTCTCAGTCAATATTTGTAAAAAAAGAAAAAAATAAATAAATAGAACTTGTTTCTTTTATTTCATTGCCTGCCAAGCTTGAGAAGGTTAGGCTTGATTGAAAAATAACACAAAGTGTAGCAAAAGCTATCATTGATACTAGGCATTCTCCTTGCATTGCCTCATTAAAAACCTTCTAATGGTCCTGCCAGGTATCAACATTCTCAAGTGCAAAAGCTGAGAGAGGTGACAGAACTTGTCAAAGCTCTTGCAGCTGCTGTGGGGGAGATCCTGATTTGAAGAGGTCTCCCTGACTGCAGGGTCTTCAGGGAAAGCTAGACAAAGGAGCTTTAGGCTTTAACCTTGCAAGTCTCTTACTGCCTCTGATCTTTTACATGGTTATCCTACTGCCCTATTTAATTTGCACGAATGATAAAAGGAGAACGAGCCTGGAATTTTTAAGAAAATTGGAGTAAGTATATGGAGAAGCAAGATTTACACTGGGTACTATTCAAAAGGCTCAAGATGAAAATGCTTGGTTGGGTAGTCAGAGGGGAGGGGAGCAGTTTGAGCACACATCCGTATATGTGTGAAGGGCCACAAGAGACACCACAGACTGGGATAAGGATGACATCTATGCACTTGAAGAAGGGAGCTGGGCCAGGATGAGGGAAGTTGGACAGTACCTGGGAGGAAAAGGAGCTGGTAGATGGACAAAGTTTAAGGAGGACTGAGAGAAGAAGCAATAGGAAAGAGGAAGAACTAGGAGGAAAGGCAGTTGTGAGTTATTCTGCAGTATTTTTTCCTTCCACCTTTTTTTCTCCCTTTAATCTTTTCCTTGCTGATCTCAGTCACAATTCGACCCTCAGGGCTCTTTTCTACTTGGATGATTACCAAATCTCTCCAGTCCTGACTTTTCTCCAGAGTCTCAGAGTCCTCTCCTCTGAGGTCCAAACTGAATGCAGCATCTCTTCTGCCTCAAGCTTGCTCCTACTCTTGTACTTGCTCTCACTTAATCAAACATCCATTTGAACTGTTCTCTCTCCTCTCTTCCTTCAACCATTCTTTCATCCAACAAATATTTACTGTGGGTCTATTATGTCCTACACACTGCTATTCACTTACCAAGTTGGCTCACTTCTACTTTGAAAATCTCTTCTGTCCATCTCATCTAAATTCTTAACTGAGATTTACTGAGAATCCTTCATGCTTGAACCATGGCTACACAGGACTATAAGTTAATTGGTTTTGCATGCCATTCATTTTGTAATGACCACCTAGCATTTAGCATTATACCTGGGAAACAGAAGGGGCTCGCAGTGGAGACTTAGGGACTGCAAACTAGCTGGGATTGGAGGAGCAGAAGCTAGGAGATATGTCTTGAAGGAGTATTTGCATATGAAGAAAGGTGTCTTCCTTAAATTCTTGGTTACAGATCTATACAAATAACACCAGCATGAGAATGCTTTTATTTCTGGGGTGTGGCCATGGGAGTCTGGGAAGACTGCTGAAGTCTGATGTTGAGAGTCTTCTCATAGAGAGAAAGCCTGTCCACCTCCCACCCCTTGAATACTCAATAGTCACTTGTTGAATATATCACCTTCCATGAGAGGGACCACGGATGTTGTGTTCTCCTTAGTATCCCCAGGGCCTAGCACATTTAGCCCACATTAGGGGTTCAGTAAATATCTGTGGAGGATTCTAGAAAGGCAGGGACCGTAGATATTTCATTCACCATCTCAGGAAGAAGGACAAAGACTAAGGGGCTCGAGGGAAAAAGAAACAGAGCAAGATATTTCCCTCCCTATTCCTTTAGAGCTTGGTAAATGTTTGCTAAGTGAAATAAATCGCCCTCCTGCACAACTCCAAAATCGGGCCCCTCGCTCGGCTGCCAGGCCCTGGAGCGCGGCCACCATCTGGCTCAGGCTCAGGCCCGCGCTTCCCTCTTTCCCAGCCCAGGCTCCTGTTACCTCCCTGCACACATCTGTACCCACCACAGGCCAAACAATTACACGCTCCCGCGGCCCTCCCTCGAGATCCGGGACAGCCCCCAGGACCGCGTCCCTTCAGTCCCCCGCCCCCCACCCCGGGTCCAAGGGAGCCCGCGGCCCGGCCTGAGGCCGCCGCCTGCAGCGGGCTCACGC